CCTCGATGCCATTTAAAAATGACTCGAACAATGATGGATCACATCTCTTCCTATAAATTCATAAAGATTTGCACAAAGGACAAATGTTACACTAAACAAAATGTTGAAGCTAAGAAAGGACACCATATTCAATTATAGATAGAATTAACTTTTATATGTATTTTCAAGTATATGTCTAAAACTCTTAGCCACAGTGGGAGTTCACTGGCTCAGTGGGAGCTATGTGACTTAGTGGGAGCTCACCAACTTAGCAAGATCTAGGTGGTTCAGTGGGAGCTTAATGGCTCATTAAAGGCTAACATAGCTCAAGTGGGAGCTAACTATTTGTTTCACAACGAACTTTTACCCAAAGACAATATACAAGTCTCTTTGTAAGCATTCAAGTGAGACTACGGTCATTTTCTCCACAACCTAATTGAGAACATAAAGTTTGTTTCTCTAAGTGGTGTCTTTCTGGAAAGAAACATATTTCCAAATACTAGAACTGAGAATCTCGAAAGACCTTAAAGGGCTTCGTCAGAATACTTGATCGAAAATACTCAAAAGGACTTTACAAGTGCCTTAAAAGAAATTCATTTCTCACAAAACTTTTGAAAAGTTGGAGTAAGATCATGAAAATCAAAGGGCTTTGGAAGCGCCTTGAAACTCGGTGTTTGATGCAATAACCCCGTATAGGTATAGAATTCACCAAAGGTTTGGATTGAATCCTATAAATTTCTAATAAAATAGAAATTAACCTAAGACTTACAAGCATACTATTTAATATTAGATATTAAGGGAATAATTAATGTCCTGTAAAATAGCTACGACAAATCCAAATTCCGAATAATGGTTAGAGGCCATAAAAATTCTAAATAGACTCCATGTTTGAAAATCATGTTTAAAACTTGATTAATTTGCATGAGGGGTGAAAGACCCGTCGATCGCAAATAAGTTTTCAAGGAGAAAACTAACAAATGTGGAAATGTATATGCATGCATAGCTAGATTGGTTGAAAAGGATACAATTAAATTCACAGAGTTGATTTTAATAAAAACCTATTCACCAATCGGAATGCTAAAGTCTTTTCGTGATTGTTCTAGCAAAATTGCACATATGAAATATGGAAAAATATATACCAAAGCCGCCTTCATAAAATAGGATTTTGGAAGTGACTATAAAATAGTCTAAGGATTTTGAAAATCTAAATAAATGCTAGATTTGAAAGCGAGCTCAAGGAATCCATTATGGGATTAAAGGAAGCATTGCATATAGGAATTGGAACGTTTTTTCTCATATAGTTAATAAGAGGATTGACTTATGGATAAACATAGAAATTCTTATGAATAAGAAGTTTAGTGGGAGCAGAAGTTTACCGTGTTAAACATGAACTGAAGGACTTTGAAAGACTTTCGACCTGTATGTATAAAACAAAGTAAATGTTTGAACTAAGTATGAGCTAGGCTAAATACTAATTTAAACAAGAAAGACTCTAGTAGAGAATTTCAACCATATCACACAGCAAAAAGTTTAGCAAGACTCAGGTGAAACTGGATTATATAAATTGTAACTTGGGTGGAAAAAGATTGAAAATCATTTTATAACTTAATCCATCAAGTGGCAGCGTGCCACGATGGACCTTGATTAGGGGATTTTGCTCCCACCAATCGGAATGTGCCACGTGGGCCAATCAGGTCCTGCCAAGTGTCCCCTAGTTGGAACTGTCAGGGCTTGCCACGTGGCACGCGCTTATTTGTCCACCTTGGACCTATTATGTCATGACACGTGGCATACTCCATGCCTAATGGAGAAACCGACCACCCAGGCCCAACTTCCGAGGGAAGCCCATTCAGCCCTAGGTTAACCTAAACCTAGGATTGGCACGTTTCCCAAGGTTATAAATACCTCCCTTAATCCTCATTCAGGGGGGATTACAGAGATAACAGGCTGATCACGCTAACAAAGCAGATTACCTACATTAAACACTCTCACCTAGAGAGACCCAATCACTTTAATTTCCGCATTAATTACTCCTTAATCAAGTACTAACTTGACCGTTGGAGGCGGAGCTCCCACCACCAGGAGTCTCCGTTGTTTTGCAGGTACAGGCGTCCGGTTCCAGTCTCGGAATTGTAACTCTCCCGCAGGACATCAGAAAACTCCGAAACAGACCTGACATGTGGCAAAGGGGGCTGTGGACCCGGGTGACGAGTGATTGACACGGGCCAAAAGGAAGTGGCCCAACCAAACCCAACTTGGGGCTCAAGGTTGGGTGACACATGGTCAGCTCACAATGCATGTGAGTTTCCTTGGGGTCCAAGTGAGAAAGTGGTCCTCACCTAACCATGTGACACTTGTTACTTGTTACTTGGTTTATTTAAATAAGGGTTGAATTCATTTATCTTTCCATGTGGGATCCTTTTCCGAAAAAGTCCCACATTGAAAGATGAGTAGAATTCACAAGGAAGCTTTTCTTATAAATATCCAAGGCATGGCTTGGGATTGTTCACTTGAGTAAGAGTTAAAAAATGCATCACCATTGTGAAAACCTTTGAACTCATTAATTACTCGGGTTTAGGTTGGGCATTTCTAACTCCAAGGCATTGGACCATTGTCGGCGGTCGAGTTGTGGGTGGACTTCCGTTGGAGGTTGTCGTACTTTTGAGACTTGCTTTTGAAGTAAGATCCCCTTGAGTTCAGGCGAAGCACACTTGAAAGGTATAATTACTGTCGCATTTAGAGAAGTGCTCAAAGGGAAGTCCTTGAACGAGCATTCGGCACTCCTAGTTCTAGATTAAGCCGTCCCCGGTGATCGGCTGATTGCTAACCTAGGTCGTGTCGGGTGCGTTTGGGAAATCATTTTTGAAAAAGAAAAATGCAAAAAATAAAGCAAAGAAAGGATTAGGCGGTTACCTTAGAAGAAGGTACTAGAGGGGCTAGGTCTTGAAATTATATGAACAGGTGGACGATTGGCTGAGTGTCAGATGCTGAAGAAGTCAAGTATTTGAAAGTCAAATATCCATGGTTCTCCTAAAGATTCGCGTAAATTGTAAATCCAAGGAGAATTCAACCACCTATTTATAGAAGGGGTGAAAAACCTAGGGTAAATTTGGCTAATTAGAAGTCGACACCTATCACAAGCGTCACATGGCATGCCAAGTCACCCCTATGAGGGGCAAATGATTTGGGTATTTATACCCTTACAAGTGGACCAATGAGAGAATGACATGTGTCGCTCTCTAAGGTGTCCAAATAGACTCCCTAGATAGAAGACATGTGTCACTCAGATATGCCCCTTGGGAATGGCGGCTTTCAAGGCCCAAATCCCAAGGGGCGCTGCAAAACGGCGTTGCCCTAATCCCTAGATCATCAAATCCTAGGGCAGGCACATTTTCCTAGGACCCTATAAATAGGGAGATTCCCCCAATATTTGGGGTACCTTGAAACTTTCAATCATTACGTTTTAATCTAATGACATTTATTGCTCTCTAAAACAGAGAACACCTGAGCTCGAAATCCGAGCAGATATCTTACTTTCCGCTCGTTTTACTCCGATTTTGTACTAACTTAATCTTTAGAGGCGGATCTCTGACCATTCGGAGTTCCGTTTGTTTTGGGGGTATAGGCGTCCTAGTTGAATTCAGTCTTCGAGTTGTAACTCTCCCAAGGGACACAAAAACACCCAAAACAAGTACTCCATTACATCTTTGAAAAGGATGTTCAAGGCATGAAGTTGAAAGGTCATTAAAGCATTCATCATCTAAATTGGAAGGAACAAATAATGTTAACAGTTTTTGAAAGCACAACTGACCTACTATAATGACTTTCTTTGTCCTATCCAATAGTTCCGAATAAAAAATGCTCCTACTTTCCTTATCCAAATAATTACATCAAATAAACATAATCTAAAAAAGCATAAATAGCACGAGTAGTATAATCTTAAAATGCAAAAATAGAGATAAGTATATAATCAAGAGTTCTCTAACCATGTCCATATTTAGGCTATAGCTCTCTTCGGATACACCAAGGGAATCTATAATATAAACCGTCTTTCAAAGAATATGGACGACCAACATAAAAAAAAAAGGTTCCCTGGAGTATGGTTGTCATGTACAAGTAGAAACACCTACAATCAACAAATAAGACATACTATAAGTCTAACAAAACACATCTCTTCACCATATCAATAAATGAAATTAGCAAGTCTACAAACCTGCAAAATCTTACTCAAATCCTGTGGAATATATGTATTTTTCCGTGCAAAACATTGTTTTATTATTGTCCGGTTACCCACACACTGACTACGTCGATCCTCTCCGAGAACAACAACTAACAGAGAAATTTTTTATTTGTTGAACATATAAAGAGATTAATCAAAAAAGTTTATAAACTAGTGTATCCTCCTGTTAATAAACAGGTACAATGAAAGTTATTACCTGGAATGCAGTTAACAGCAACAAATTCTTATTTCCCTCTGCAAATGCGAGCCGTTCCAGATCATACATGAACATGACAATAAACTAGCATGGAGAAAAAACAAGTTATCACGGAATCTTACTGAAAGATTACTTCATAATACTGAATTTAGAAAACCATTATTAGCACATACATGACCGCTTAATTTGTTTTCTGGGTAAACAACGTACGATTCTCCAATAGTAAGGAACAAACAATAGGCGATAGGGTAATATGCATATAATATATTGTTCTCTTCATCAGCTATATTCTGACATATATATCTATTCAACAGCGTTAGATGATGCAAGAGCTCTTTGAAAATTGGTGAGGGAACTTCTTCACCGCTGTTCTAAAAGCCTCGATGTTGCTGCTTAACCCTGACATTATTTTATTAACAATTGATGTTTCCTTGCAATTTAATTATTGTTATCTACCAAAAGGTGCAAAATCAGTACTTGGTATAATTCAATAAAATTCAATGGATTTGCACAACTATCACTCTTGTTCCTAAAATCCCTAATGCTTCTTATGTAAAGGATTTTAGGCCTATAGCTTGTTATACTATGGTTTATAAACTCATCTCTAAGATTATCACTGCTAGACTTGCTGCTGTCATTGGTGAGGTCATTGATGATGCTCAAGCAGGTTTTATTCAAGGCAACCACATTGGAGATAATATCCTTCTTGCAACTGAGTTGATCAAGGGATATGATCACAAAATTAGCTCTCCTAGATGCATGGTTAAGGTGTACTTGAAAAAGCCTATGACGCAGTTGAATGGGGGTTCTTGATTGTTGTTATGCAGGAGCTTGGTTTCCCTTAAGGTTTTATCAATTAGATCTGGATCTGTCTTACTTCTGTCTCTTATTCTATCCTTATTAATGGTTTTCCTGCCCCTCCCTTTGAAGCTAAAAAAGGTCTGAGACAAGGTGATCTTATGTCTCCTTTCCTTTTTGCTATTGGCATGGAATACCTATCCAGATGCCTTTACGAGCTTAGGTTAACTCCTGATTTCAATTTCCATCCTATATGTGAAAAGTTAAGCCTAACTCATATGATGTTTGCTGATGACTTGTTGATGTTCTCTAGAGCTTATGGTATATATTTCTGTCAAGCTTCTTTTCCAAGCTTTTTCCAAATTTTTAGATGCTTCAGGCCTTTACGCTAACCTTGATAAAAGTGAAGTCTACTTTGGTGGTGTTCCTATCGAAGTTCAAACAGAACTTAGAGAGCTTCTTGGAATTTCTTAAGGTTCTATTCCTTTTAGATATCTTGGGGTCCCCCTCTCTTCTAAGAAGCTTACAGTTGCTCAGTGCAGCCCTCTAGTGGAGAAAGTGACTGTAAGAATTCAAGGGTGGATGGCTAAACACTTGTCTTATGCTGGGAGGCTCCAATTGGTTAAAAGTGTGTTGTTTGGTATTCAGACTTATTAGGCTCAAATCTTCATCTTAACAAAGAAAATTCTGAAAGAGATTGAAGCTAGATTCAGATGCTTTCTTTGGACTGGCTCCTCTGCTCCTGCTAGGAAATCTTTGGTTGCTTGGAAGTATGTTTGTCTTCCTAAAGTCTATGGTGGCTGGAATCTGCTCTCTCTTCCTGAGTGGAACAAAGCAGCTGTCACTAAATTGCTTTGGGATATTGCTCACAAGGCCGATAACCTTTGGGTTAAATGGGTCCATATTTACTATTTTAAGCATAGAGACTATTGGAATGCCCCTATCCCTGCTAAATGCTCTTGGTTTTTGAAGAAAATTTTGAGTTGTAGAGATATATTGAATAATCAAGGGGGATGGGATGGCTTAATGCAGGCAATAGAATGAAAATCAAGAAGCTTTATGCTGCTATTAGACCTCAAGTTCCTAAGGTTCCATGGAAAAGAGTTGTTTGTCACAATATGGCAACCCGTAAGAGTGTATTTATCTTATGGTTAGCTTTGTGAAACACACTTATCACTAAGAATAGGTTGCTGCAATGGCACATCTCCTGTGATCCCAAGTGTTTTCTTTGTTTGAAAGACAATGAAAGTGTGCAACACCTATTCTTTGAATGTGAGTACTCTAGGCAGGTTTGGAGTAAGATTATAAGTATCTTACATGTCACTAAACCTGTTTAGAAATTTGAGGATGCTATTGAGTGGATGAAGAAAATCTATAGAAGTTCTAGAGTGATAAATAAAAGCAATCCAAATTGCTTTCACTAAAATAGTTTATAGCATTTGGATACATAGGAATGCAGTTTTGTTTACTGGTTGCTGTAATTCTGCTGAAGTTTTAGTCAGGGATATTATCTTCCATACTGCTTGTAGATGCCCTGCTGGAAACAAGTATCTGATTTTGTAGATTTCTGCTGGTTTGTTTCTCTGTTTAGCAGTTCTGCCTAGGCTTTGACAGGTTTTTTTTTTGTTTTGGCAGTCTTGTTGTATTGCTGGGTTTATAGTGGCTTTTCTGTCTGTTTTGGTGTATTGTCCTACTGTCTAGCCCTTCTGCTTGTTTTTCTTGTAGTTGAGTCTAGGGGGACTTTTTGTATCTTTGGTTCATGTTTCCTGTCCCTGGCACCCTTCCTAGAAGGTGGCTTGAGGTCGACAATAGGGATGTTCCTTCTCTCTATGATGAACCCTTCCTAGAAGGTGGCACTTTAAAGTTTAGGAACTGTTTGGGGTGTGTTGGCCTTTTGTAAGGCTTGTGTTGTATGGTGTACAACTTATCTTTTGTAAGTTGGATCTTGTTTTCTTTGGTCCTTTTGGTAATAAAATTTCTAATTTACCAAAAAAAAAAATTCAATAAAAATGATGCGATGAAACCATGGCGTAGGCATGCTCTCTAAGATACTGAATACATATATAAACTAGTTTAGCTTAATTAACATGTTATACAGGAGTTTCATAACCCTCCCTTAGAGTTATTGCATCCTCTGCTACGGATGAAGAATCTTCACACATCGGTCGTGCAGTTGGAAGTTGTTCCATCGCAACCTGCAAAGAACATTTAAACAAATACAACATCATAATTATTGAATTAACGACTTTGCATAGGACCAAAATGGTTGGACATATAATTGACAATGAAAATCTTCGCATATCAATTATACTGTAAATCAATATATTGTAAAGTCCAGCATAGTTAATGGTAATATCCACGTAGACAAAGATTTTTAGTATGGAAGGTACCAACAAATCAACTTTGATAAATAGTACGTACAATGATACATTAAGGTGATTTTCAAGTATAATATCTGGTCATATCCATATACACCACGTATCTGCTATAATTAGTGACTCACCGCTTGTTTTTCTTTAGTTTTAAGACCTCTACCCTTCCTTGTATTAGTTCTTTTCTCGGGATGGGTTTCATTTGTCTTTGCGCCATGGGATTTTCCATGGCTATCATGAGGCAGAATCTTTTTAGTTGCAGTCTTGGGCGCTTTTCTGTTTTGAGTTTTTTTGTTTCCATCGGGTGTTTTCTTTGTTCCTCTAGTATTTTTCTTTTTTCTGATGGACTGATTGTTCCTCTATTATTTTTATTCTTTTCTTCTTGACTTTTAGTTCCACCAGTATTTTTCTTGGACTCTTTGTTCCGCCATTATATTTTTGCTTTTTACAAATGGCATCAAGAATTGGAAAATCCATCAAAGTGTCTAACTCTGTTGGAAATTAAGAGTGATTGAATCGGACATGCCTAATGCTAAATGATGTTCCACCATTCAGATAATCATCAGCAACATTTTCGTGTTGGTCCATATTTAACTTTTGTTTGGCACCTACACGATTTGAGTCACTCAGCTTTGAATACCCCAAAGGTGTTAAAAATTAGTACCATCACCGATCAACCTTCTTGTTATTATGAATGCAAGTTGGGGTCTTCGGATCGTAGCCTTTGTCATCCAAGTTCAAAACATTTTCAGTATCCCTAGCAAGGCATTTACTTCCATCTGGCAACACCTTGGGAAAACACCTCACGAATTATATTCTTTATTTGTTTAAGTGTACCATCAATGTCGGAGAGCTTCCCATATATATTTTTCACATGTTGCTCTACAACACATATCGCTCATTAAGTGTATCATCGATGTTGGGGATCTTCCCGTATATATTTTTCACATGTTGCTCTACAACACGTATCCGCTGCTCATTAAACAATGAACTAATATAAGCTTAACAACTAAATAAAATTTTGATAACCCAAAAATAAGGATACATTAACATTTCACCCAAACGATCAAAGATTGGACACAAACGATCTTATAATGTAATTACCTACTGACACACATAGTATAATCACTGAGTTGAACATTACACCTCAACGATCCAAAATGCTAAAAACAAGGAATAAATTATCATGGATTTTTATGAACTAGTTTATTACATTTCAAAAGCAATGTAAAACTTACATCTACATTCTTATGCTAGCTGCTACTGCAATCTACAACCTCCATATCTTTGGACATGTTTGTATTTATATGTGGATATTACCTACAATGAGCAGGTGTATTAGTGTTTGCAAATACATTAAATTGGTTCTCCTAACTCAATTGCCAATTGCCACTACACAAAATTTCACAATCACCTCACATACTTGTAGACACCCAAATGTGTCTCCCCAAAACCAAACCCTGTGATGAATATCTTTCACATCATTTGATTATCGAACAAAGTGAAAGTGTGAAAAGTCTAGTGTTGAGGATGTTTTTATTAAAATGTTTCTCTTTAAATTTTCAAAAATATTTCTTTTCTTACCCTATTTATAAAAAATAGTTAGTCCAATTTGGTTTGTTCCATGATAAGGGTCCAATAATAGTGTAGCTAGATTGGGCTTGAAAAGAGCTTTCCAACTAAATATTATAACTCAATTCCGATGAATTATGAGGAAGTTATGGTTAAATTAAATTAGGCCCAATGATTTTAAATGTGGCCCAATGATCTAGAGGAGGGCCTATTAATTATTATTCCTAAAGTAATTAGGATTGATTTTAATCTTTTAGGAATATCTATAAGGGTTTTTTTAATTCTAAGGAAATTAGGATTGATAATTATATTTTATAGATGTTTTTATTTTGAATAAAATATATTATTTATCAAAAATCTGATTTTAAATCTGCTTAGACGCGAAATTACATGTTAACCGGGTTAAAAGATGATTTCGCGTACGAACGCGCGTTGTACTTGAGAATCAGCGCGAGATGACATATTTGCCTGGCGCTGCAGCTGTCGTCTGGAGCTGACTCCTACCGTTGGCGACAGGAGATATTTTATTTCGAATATGATTTTCTTTGATCCCGTGCTATTTTTTCTTTAAATAGGGATCGTTTAATTCACAATCAATATTCACAACCATCATCTCTCTCTCTCTAAAAGCTAGAAGCTTCTCTATTCTTTTTCTAAACCTTCCCTCTATCAAAATTTCACACTCATTAGTCCTAGACACAGCTAGCCAAGTTCGAAGTTGCCTTCGCCCTAGATGTGAAAGGTTTGATATTTCTGAGGGTTTGGTCCCAAATCTCTATTTTAATTATTTAATTTAATTATTTTGTTTAATATTTTCCTTGAAGTTACTAATGTGTGTATTTTGTTATTAGAAAGAGATATAAATCATCGAAGTAAGTACTTTAATTGTTTTATTGCTCTTTTGATACAAAAATCATGCTTAGATTATTTTTTTGATTCCTAGTATCATGTTAAGATGTTTTATTGCTTCCTAGTATCATGTTTAGAGTTAACTAAAATTTCTAATGACAAGTATATTGTTATGATAATTCCTATTTCTTTCCTAATATGATGTTAGTATCATGTTAGGGCTAATTGATCTTTAATGTTTAGTGACATGCTAGGGTTTGTTATTAATCTGGTTAGTATCATGCCTAGGATCTTGCTAATGATATTATGCTTTAACATGATTATGATTATTATTTTGATTATGGTTATTATGATAATGATGATGATTATTATCATGTTGCTTGATGTTATTATTGTTATTGCTTGATCACGCCTTTTATGCATGTTTAAAGGGAATTTGTACTTGTAATTACGCTTAATAAGATAATTAGTAATCTTGTTTAGGCTAATTTGATTATAATTCATGTGATCACCAATAGTAAATTTATTTGTGCATTAATATTCAACCAACATAGATTAAATAGCTTTAGGGTTAACCTATTGATTGTATGTTAGTCAAAAAGCGCACATGAATACAAGAAGAATAAAGTATAGGCTTATTTTTAGGGCAGGTTCAATATCTTTTAGGTTGAATTTTTACCTTCATCCCCGAACTTCCAGTCATGCTTCTAGACCTATTGGAGTTAACGATATCCTTGATCGTTAAGGAGTGTAACCTTCACCCTTTGAACGGTTTACAAGTTCCTAAATTTTATTGGCGACTCTTTTACTCTAGCTTCCTTCCCTTTAGACGCCACCATGCTTAAGTGTATGATCACAGTGGGGCTCACGTGTGGGATGGCTTGAAATGTTCCCTACAATACTACTGAAAAGTATTCACGACTACCAAGCGTAATGATTTATAAAACATAAAGACGAATATAAATGTGATCCAATGAGAAGGATTAAATGTGAAAATTGATTTAAACTAATAACAATTATGAATTGTCTAGAATGCACATTATGTTCAAAATTTGTGCTTATTCAGTTCAAAAGAAAATGCACACGAAATAAAATTTGTGCTGATGTAGTTCATTTGACTTACATATAGTGAATAATTTTGCAATCACGCATAAAATAGATTAACACTATAAAATTGCATACCAAGAAACCACAAGATATCATAATATATTAGTAATCTACAAAAGTTCAAAACACAAATTACTTAACATT